GCCGGGCCTTCCTTAGTCAATGCTGGGTTCTGAGGGCCTTTCCAGTCCCGTCCCTGTCCCGTGAGGCCACAACCGGCCACCCTCTCTGCTGAGGGCTTGGGGTCCTGGGGCACCCGAGGGAACCGGAGGGATGCTCTGGGGGAGGACCCCGCCGATGCACACTCGGGAGCAAGGGTCCGCGTCCCTCCGGAAGGGGCCGGCAGGGCAATCCCGCGCGGGGTGCGCGGGCCGGCGGGTGCGGGAGGGTGCGGCGGCCCGGGAGGGGTCGCAGCCGCGGGCGGGGCGCGGCGCGGGGGGAGGCGCGGCCTGGGCTTTGCCCGCGGGGCCGCGGCGGCTCGGGAGGTGGGCGCGCCCCGCCYGCTCCCGGGTCCGCGCGGCCGGCGGGGCGGGTGGCGGCGCAGGAGGGCGCGGGCCGCGGCGGGCGGCGGGCGGCCGCTTCCCTTTCCGCAGCGCGGGCCGCGCTCCTCCTCCTCGTCCTGCGCGGCGGGATGCGGGCGGCGGGCGCGGGCGCGGCGGGCGGGGGCCGGGGCCCCGGGCGGGGGCGGCGGGGCGCGCGGGCGGCGGGAGGGGCGCGGCGGCAGCGGCGGCGGCGGAGGGGCCCGGGCGGCTGGCGGCCTCGCGGCGGGCGGGCGGGCGGGCGGGCGAGGGAGGGTGCGCGGGCGCCCCCCGCCCCCCGAAGGAGGAGTCTGGCTCCCACTTGCAGCCTCGGACGCGCGGCGAGGCGGCCGCCGCCGGAGGAGCCCCCGCCCCCGCGAGCCTCCCTCCCGGGAGCCGGGCCGCTGCCTCCCTCCGTGCGCGCTGCTGCTCGCGGCCGCCGCGGCCGCCGAAGAGGAGCCCGGGGCCAGGTAGGGCCGGCGGGCGGGCGGGGCGCTGGCCSAGGCGCGGCGGGCCGGGGCGCAGGCCGGGAGGGGGCGCGGCCGGGACCCCCTCCAGGCTCCGGGTGACGCCCGCGGCGCTGCGCAGGGCACCCGCAAAGTTACTTTGGCCGCCTGTGCGGGGCGCCGGCGGCCGGGCCGAGTACCCCGCTGCCCTGCCTGCCCAGCGGGTGCGGGCGGGAGGGGCCGGCCGGGACGCAGGACTCTGGCTGGGGCCGCGGGGTCAGCGAAACTTTTCCCCGGCTCGCCGGTCGCCGCCGGCAGTTGGCAGAGTAGCTGGTGGAAGAAGCGGGCTGGTGGGGTGCAAGTGATGACGACGGTGACAACAATAGCAGCCCCGGGTCCTGGAGAGCCTACTGTGCGCACGGAGCCCCTGGCGCTGCTTACTGGGAGGAGACGGGGACTGATGCTGCTCGAATGGCCACTTTTACTAGGTATCGAAGGCAACTTCATCCGTTTCTAGCCATCCATCCATCCACCATCCACCCGTGCATCCATCCCTTCATCCACTCGCCCACTGGGCACTGTTCACTGCTGCCCGCAGTGTGCCTGGCCTGGGATTCAGTGACTAACCAGACAGGTCCCAGTCCTCCAAGGCAGCATTCCATGGACTGCCGGTGCCAGGGAGCAGTTCTGTCTCTTGTGTGTTGATTTTGGGACGTGGTCTAGGAGAGAGAGAATTCTTGCACAGTCTCCTGGGCCTGGGTAGGGACAGAGAAGAGATGTTGTGTCCAGGAGTCCGCAGGCTAACCTGGAGTTTGGGACCCACCCTCCTCCCTCCCTTCCCAACCTCCAGGCTCAGGCTGGGTGGCCCAGTGGGGTCAGGAGGCTCCACTCTGCTACTGGTCCCCACTAGTGTCCAACTGCCCTTCTGGGATGCCCCTCTCGGGGCCTTTCTCCCAGCACCCCCTAGGAGCTTAGCTGCTCCCCTTCCCATTTCCACTGCTCCCCTGAATGGCCCAGAGGGAAGCCTGGTAAGTGGCCAACAATTATGAAATTAAACTGGGGGAAGGAAAGTGGGACAGGAGTGGAACCATGGTGGGGGACTTATTGGCAGGGTTCTGTTGCACTGGGGGTGGGATGCGAAGCCGTGGGGATACTAATGCCCTCCATACCCTAAGTGGCTTTGACCAAGGGGGAAAAATTATACCAACTTCATGAGTAATCTGTCACATGGCTAAAAATGCTTTGGGGGATGCCAGAGAGGCCACCAGCTGACCGCTACATCCCAGCTGAGAGTGGTGCCTTGGTCTTCTGGAACCAAAGGTCTAGGAGACCATTCTGGGAGGGGGGCTTGTGTTTCTGCCTGGGTTGAGGCTGGGGAGAGCACAGGGCTGTGGAGCTGAGGGAGGCATCTGGAGCCAGGTGCAGACTACAGGGGCCCGCTGTGTGGGAGCCATGCGTAATAAACTGAGCTTCAAGATGCCGGGCTCCCTGCAAATTGGCTTTCCAAGTGGCAGCCCCTCAACACTTGTAAAATCTTTTTTCTCAAGATGGATTTCTGTGAAATGGTTACATCTATTCGAGTGCTCGTTGGAGGTACATTAATTGGCTGATGGCTAGTCAAAAGGCCTAATCCAGGCACTGAGGGGTAATCGTGTGTCGGAAGCGGCTCAATGTGGGCTGCTTTCCGATTTATGCCTCGCCCCAGGAATTTTGGAAGATCTGGATTGAAGTAGATCCTCAAAATTCTGATGCGGCAGTCTCCGAGGTCACCCACATGTGGGATGAAGTACCTCAGATATAGGTCCTGTGTGAGGTTCTGGAATGGGCACACCCACCCAGGCCGGTACCCTGAGTCTGCACTTGTGGACCAATAGGCAGGTCTAGATTAGGTAACAGATGGGATTTTGGGGGTGTTTCTCCTAGTGCCCAAACGGCATCAGAAATACACAGACTGATGTATGGAATAATTGTTCAAGAAAAGCTGCTTTTCAACATTTCCGAGTCCAGCCTTGGGACTACGAGACCTTCCTCCGATGAGAGTGATTGAGTTCCGTTGTTCTGCCTTGAACTTGCTGTCTTCCCAGCCAGGCAGCCACAGCCCCTCCTGTGCCCATCTCTTTCTACTCATTTGAGGAATTAAGGGTGGGTGCTGGGTTTCAGGGAAGGGGAGTCTGCAAGGAGAAAAGGCAGCATTCTGGGTGTGGGTGCTGGACTTCTGGAAAAAACAAGATCCTCCCCAGTCATCTTTCAGTCTGCCCAAATGCCTTCCTTTTTCCAATTTCAGGCCTGTGAACTGATCACAAATAGCGGGGCACAGGAAATTAATCAGTCGGGCAAAGACTTTTAACAAGTAAATATTATGCACAGAAAACACGCAATTAGTGGAGGTTAGTCAACGCCTTTCAAGTCGAGGGAGCCGCAGTTAGGGGTGGAATTTCTGCCTTATCCCAGAATCGTCTGTCAAAATCTTTAAAGTGACAATGTGACATGTCTCCCCATTGCCCCTCCTTCACTGGGAACAAAAAAGGGTCTTTGCACAAATCCCCTTTCCATTTTCTTCTCTCTGAGAGCTTTCTGTTCAGCAGTGGTACCTTTGTCTGTCAGCACCTCTGGAGTGCAGGACAGGGCTGGGTTTCCCCAGTATAGAGCCTGAGAATTGGGTCCCAGGCTTGCTCTGGTCAAGGCTGCTGCCCTTTGGGAGAGGGACAGGCCTGCTGTGGGGTGCTCTTCTGGCCTGGACGCCTTGCTCTCCAGGGTGAGATGTACCCCATACTCGGGGCTGGAGGAGAACTGGGAAGGCAGTTCCCTGCACCCCTGGTTCCTGGTGTGTGCATGTCCCCACAATGACACAGCCAGCTCACACCCGCTCCAGACAGCCCCTGAAATTGGTTTGGATCTGAAGAGATGACTAAAGTGTGCAAAGCAAAATCCCAGGGAAAAGAGAAACACAAGGAAGTCAAAAGGGGCCCCTCTGTGGGGTGGTGTCGGGGGGAAGTGTCTTGATCAGCGTGATTCTTCCTGGTGCTCGCTGTGGTCCCACCAATCTGCTGCCGGCACAATATTTCCCCCCCATAATGAGAGAAGACTTAGTTATGCTCTATTTCCATTTGAAATATCTATGGCCGACAAGGCAGCCCAATTTCCTGAAACAAAAAAACTTAGCAAATTGAGATTCATATACCAATTTTGAACTTGTACAGTGACTTGAGATGCTCCTGGGTCTTCCCATGCCTGTCTGCAAAGTATTCTTTAGGGAATTTTCTTGGATGTGAGCTTGACCAGCCTGAGGTCAGAACCTGGTCATTCATCGTAAATAGGAGCAGCTGCAGTTAAAAAAAGAAGGAAGGAAGCACGGACAGACAGAAGAAAGGAAAGGAGGGAGGAAGGAAAGGAGGGAGGGCGAGAGGGAGAAATCTCCCTCTGGTTGATGGTGCTCTGTGTCCAGTTCAGAGTCAGGCATAACAGGTTCCCTTTCGCCCCCACCTACATCTGAAGGTTGATGTCTATCAGGTAGCTTGTCCATGGCTCATCTTCGCATTCTTGCGCCTTTCTTCTGGGGATCTGAGGCTCAGTGTTGATGCACACGAAGCCTTTGGCATCTCCCATGCTAATGTCATCACTTTCAGGAGAAAATAATGCTTCCCTCCAATGTCCCGCGCCTGCCTTCGCTTCTCCCCTCCAGTGCATTCTTCCGTGTTTTCTGCACATTCTGCAGCTGCAAGACTGCAGAACGGATTGCACTGGCTACCTGAGAAATGCAGGCCCTTCCCCACACCCTGCCTTTCCCTCTCCTGCAGCTTCGGCCGCCTGGGCTCTGTGCACAGCGCAGTGCAGTGGGGGAATGAGTTTGTTATTCAGGCACATCAGTTAATTGATCACACTTTGGAGGTTGAATCCTCGATGGCAAATTCCCACATGACCACAAAAAATACACTTGAACTGATGGTAAAAATGGCCAAACCCCAACTGCAGACCGAAGTGTGGAATGACCATAGGGCCAACTTGATTGTGCTCCGGTGACATCTGCTGAATAGATTTCCACGAGAACTGCAGATCCACGTTGACTTTCTTTGCAAATTTTATTTGAATACTGAGAGCCAGACCCTCTTGCCTCTCCCCCTCCCTAGCCACCCAAGTCCTGAGCCCCCACTGCCACTGAGCATGAGCGGGTGGATCTGTGGGGAGGGGAGGCAGGATGCCGACTTTTCCACATTCACTTGGTTCCCTTTTGTGTGCGGCATGCCTGTGTGTGTGTGTGAACGGGATCTGAGCTGCTTCCCCTTGCAACTCCACAGATACGTGAATCTCCAAGAGCTTTATTTTGAAAACTAGGACATAGCACTTTGCAGAAGAAAAAATCAGTCCACTCACTATTATTTATGTGATTGCTGATCTGCTAGATGGATATAGAAAGCACCAAGAATTATAATAATTTATGGAGTGGAGCTCGGGTTTACAAGCAGATTTCTCTGTCCGAGCTTTGCTGGTTTCTTTTGCATCTCGGGCCTCGTTCTGTGCACTGGGATCGGGGAATATTCAGAATTTGAAGATGAGCCTGGTGAACCAACTGCATTCATATCTAAAATTAAGGGGATAAGTGAGCAGCTATTTGTGGCAGACAGGACATGATCCAGTAAGTAGCACTCTTCATCATTCTGAAATAAAAGTACATAATTGGGAAATGGAGTAGCAGCGACTGCTGGGGGTGGGGGGTGAGGAATTAGAAAGTGTAATTTAAAATCATGTAGTCATAATTCAAAATGGGCCCAGCTAAAAGGTTTTTAAGTGGTAAATGCTTTAAAGTCACTTGTGGTTGATCCCTTTTCAAGGAATATGGTCTAATTTTCAGTATATTCGTGGAGTCCTTCATCTACTCAGCTCATTGGCTCATTCAGCTGAGCCACGAATCCCAGATTCTGGTCAGTGTTTTCTTTTTCGTGGAAACCCCTGGTGGAGCAGAGGGAGGAGAAATGGAGGGCCGGATCTGATTTTCCCCCATTGAGCTATTTGCCTCTTTCCTTTCCTTTGGGTTCATCTGTTTATTTTTGCCCCTGATGACATTTCCAACCATCAACCGATCAGTTGCATATATCCAGGCACAAGCAAGACAAGGGAAGGAAATAAGAATTACAAGTGGTTTTCAAACTGTGGGAAAGGTGGCAGGTGGAAGAATTCTTCCCCAACCCCACACGGTGGCACTTCTCCATTAAATGTTATCTCCTGCATGTGCCCGGGGTGGGGGCTGTGGATTTTTTTTTTTTTAATGTCATTTTGCCACATTGCAACAAACGCCTCGCCTCGGTAGTTAGGCAGAGCCTTCCCTGGGCTGGCTTTCCCTGACGGAGGACAATCAACCGTGCTTGGGGCAGGGGGTGCAGCCCGGGGCCGCTGGCCGCCTGCTCAGGGCTGAACTCCTGGAGAAGGGCCTGCGCAGTGCTGGCTCTTTGGAACGCTGCAGCCGGGAGAAGGCTCTGGAGGTTCTGTGCTGCGTCAGACTGTCGTCCTCGTGCGGATGTCGATTCTCTGGAGTTCTGGACTGAGGACAACAGGCTTCGCCCTCCCTCACAGTTATTGTTAAGAGATGGGCCAGTGAGAAACGGGAGGCTTTGTGGTGGTGGCTTGAATGGCCTCACTTTGACTCTGGTGAGAGTGACCTTCACTTTCCAAATGGGGACACTTCTGAGAGCCAGAGCAGGTGCTGATAACAAGGGCATAGGCAGCACTGCTCTTGACCCACGCTGACTTTGAGGGGTGTGTGTTGGGTAGAGGTGGCTGCCTCAGGCCACTCGGCAGAGCAGGTCTGTCCTGTTTGCAGGACAAGACAGGTGCTTACTGCCTGTCTCACCGGGTGCAGGGTGGGCCTCACTGTGAGGACCAACCAGGTGGCTCTTCTGCAAAAATCCACTGCCGAGTTGGTCCACGAGTCAGGACTCTTCACAGCTCTCTCCTTTCGGGGCCTTTGGCATATACAGCCTTGGAGCTGGGTGGGGTCTTCCCTGGGCCCACAGACTTCTTTACACCGTGCTTCTTAACAAGGGAGTCCCAGAGGTCCCTTGATCTGCTTGGCTGCTCCTGCAGAGCCCTGAGCCTCCCAAGGGCTGGTCTCAGGTCTGGGTCACTTGGCTCCCAGAAAAGGAGCAGTGAATGTTCAGGGGCTCACCCGTGTTCCCCAGTGCCCAGAGGATGAGCAGAGGCAGGTCCTGCTGGGTGTGTCCAGCCACTGCACCCTGGGAAGGAGACTAACTGGTGGCTTCCCGGTAGGAAAGAGGGGCTCCGGAAACCTGGGGTTCTGGCAGGGGAGCTGGGGGCTGCCTGACCATCTGGAAACCTCTGCTGGATTCTCACAAGTCTCCTGCAGGGCTCCTGAGTTTCATCAGAACTTTCTGAGCAGAATAGAAGAGACATTTAGTAAGTACCTACTGTGTGCTGGGCTCTCAGCTGAATGATTTTGTATCCCATGTCCCTTAATCTCCTGACAGGCGGGGAGGGATGTTTTAACATCTGAAAATTTGCAGATGAAAAATCCAGATAGGGAGGTTCAAGCTGCTTTTCAAATCTGGGCTGTGGGACTCACTCACTCACTCATTCATTCACTCATTCACTCATTCACTCCCTCATTCACTCACTCATTCATTCACTCATTCACTCATTCACTCACTCATTCACTCATTCATTCACTCATTCACTCATTCATTCACTCATTCATTCACTCATTTACTCATTCACTCACTCACTCACTCACTCACTCATTCCTATATCCCTTTGTTCTTTGGCTGCTCATTCAGCTCAGACACAGAAGCAGGCCCTGTGCTGGGAGGTTTGGTAAGGGAAGCCCTGGGGGTTTGGGCGGAACTCTGATCCCACCTGGGGCAGTCAGAGAAGATGTCTCAAGGCCCTGGGCTGCCTTGGGTCTGAGAGGGCATGAGCCTGGAAACCAGAGGGCAGCTGTAGGGGCAGGAGTGTTAGGAGTCCTCCAGGCAGGAGGAACAGCACCTGTGGAGGCTCCGATAGGACTCCAGGTGTGTCAGGGAGCCCCTTGTGGTCCAGCTGGGGCTGACGTGGGCTCTGGGGCTGGCCCAAGGGCCGGGCTTTCTGCAGGCAGCAGGTGCTCTGAGGACTGGGGTGTGCCTGAGGAGTGGCCCGCTCTGAATGAGTTTCAGGACCCTCCTGGAGGCCGATGTGGGTGGCTGTGGCAATGGAGAGCCCGGAGCAGCAGAGCCCAGAAAAGGTTGGGGAGTGTGGTCAGAGGGGAGGGCAAGGCCAGACCTCCTCCCTAGCTGTCCTTCCGGACAGTCGGCGCCTGATGCCTGCTTGTGCCTGGTGTCTTGGCTAACACCCAGGTTCTTGTTTGAGTGCCTGGCCCCATGGGACTCCTGGCACCTCAGCAAATGCAAGCCTCTGAGAGGAAAGCTGCTTGCAAAAAGATAAGACTTGAAAAGCCAGCCCTGAAAATGAGTGGGATCTTCAACAGGTGCTGGACAGGAGAGCCCCGGAGCCTCCAGATCGGGGTTCCTGGGCCTTTATGGAGGCTCGGGTGCCAGGCTAGCCGGGGAGGAAGCCTTGAAACTGCTCTCGCCCCCTGTTGTGGCTCCCTCCCCAGGTCTGGTTGTTGCTGTCCCTCTCACCCTTTGTGTATGAGGGGATGTCACTCCTTTGGCAGGTCACACTCTGGTCACTCGGCACCTCATCCTCCTGCTGTCTGCCATGTACACATGGTCACGTGCAGGCTCTCCTTCTGCATATTTATGGACCTCTGTCCCCCATCATCTTCCTCCAGGCAGGACCTTGTTTTGTCACACCCTTTGGGCAGGGAGAGCAGAGCGGTGACAGCCTGCAGCACTCTGGCGGTGATCCCGAGAACGGAAGTGCCTAGTTCCTGCAAGGCCGGTCCTCCCGCCTCGCCCTCCCCCACCGCGCTAAGGAGGCGCCTGTCGCGCACCGGGGCGTGTGACTTGCTCAAGGTCACTCCGCGGGGCTGGACGGGAGGGCGGGAGCCCCGCGGTGTCCCTCAGGGTCCCCGCGCTGGCCTGCGGTCTTTCGCGGACCAGGTGTCAGCGCTTCCCAGCTAAAAGCCGTTTGTTTGGAAATGCTGCTGTCCCCCGCGGACGGCTGCGGCGGAGGAAGCGCGGCTCCCCGCACGCGCGCTCGCGGCTGGCGGCTGCTGCGGCTCCATAAATATTAAATGGGTATTAAAAGAAGGCTCTGCGCTCCCGGTCCCCCTGATTTCTCCAAGCGGGGCCACTGCGAACCCTCTTTATGTGAAACGCAGCGTTTCACTGCGGAGCCAGGGCCCCGGGACGCGCGCCTTCCTGCGGCTGAGGCATCCGGTGCGGAGTCCCGCCACCGCCGCTGTCCCCTGGGTCCCCCGACTTGCCTTTCATGAGGGCTATGTCCAGCCTGGCCGGCCCCCTTGCTGGGGTAGGTGAGGTGCAGGGGCCCAGGGCTCCTCGGGATTTAGTCAACTGGCTGCACCCCTACCCTCTGCCAGGCCTTCGGTGGCACCAGGGACAGGCTGAGCGGACGAGCTCCGTCCATCTGCACACCTGTTCATCCATCCTCCTTTTCCTTCATCCCTCCATCCATCCTCCATCCCCCCTCCATCCGGACATTCAGCATGTGTGATGGGCTCTAGGGTGACCCTATGTGAGAATAATAGCTGACCTTTATTGAACACTTACTACCGCCAGGCCCTGTGACAGGCTGTTTACATGCCACCTCATTCAGTCTTCTTGACTCTGTTAGGGAGTGTTGTCCTCTTCATTTTGTAGTTGAGGAAGCAACTTCTGGGGGGTTAAGCCAGTTGCTCAGGGTCACAGAGCTGGTGACATACAGGGGTGAGTGAAGGGGACCCAGCCCTACCCTCAGGGGACATCCTGGTTCTGCGCAGGCCCTGGAATGAGGGCCCTGGTCAAGGCCATGCCTGGTGTGAGAAAAGGGCACATTGGTTCTAGCTGGCCGAGAGGAGGGCAGAATGGCCCAGGTGGAAGGGGGCTGGTCCTGGAGCCAGGCAGCCTGCGCTGGGTCCCGGCTCTGCCACCTACTTGCTGGGAAAGGCAGGGCCAGAGGCTCCCTCCCTGCCATGTGCCTTCCCACTTGTAAAGTAGGGGCTCGGACAGTACCTGCCTCATAGGTGCAGAGCCTCACGGAGGCTGGCTTGGAACAAGAGCCCGGCACTCTTTGCCAAGACCACGGGGTGCACTAGTGTKCGGGGTTCTGGCCTGGGTGGCCGAGTGTGGGTGGACTAGGCCCTGCGGGGCCGAGTGGTCAAGGGTCCTCATCAGAGAGGCGTGCCAAGCACATCAGGCGTGCATTTGAGGAAGACTCAAGCTCCTGGCCCTGACAGGTGCTTTCTGCCGCTGAGCCAGCCCCAGGGCTCACGCTCCACAGCCCTGTGCTGGGTGTTCCAGCACCCGGGCAGCACTGGCACGCAGCAGGCCCYGAGCCCAGGCAGCCAACTGAACTGAGTAGTGATTACAATCGTCCAGCCAGTTTTAGCCAGGTATTGGTGCCTGCCAGGCATTGTGCTCAGGAGTCTGGCTGAATTCCTCTTTAACTGGCACACCCACCTTGGATGGTGGCATTACTATTATCAAATCCATTTTCTAGAACAGGAAGCTGAGGCTCAGCGAGGTCAGCAAGTTGGCCCAGGGCACACAGCAAGCCAGCACAATGCTGGGGCTCAAGTCCCCATCACACCCAGGTGGGACTGGCTCAGGGTAGGTAGATCCTCACTTCTGGCATCTTTGGCCTCTCCCCCAGCTTCTTGGTGCCTGGCAGCATTTCCAGGCGGACAGGCACAGGCTGCCTCTGTGAGCACCACGGTCAGGAGACCTGGCTCCCCTGCCTTCAATGCACACGTCCACTTAGGGACAATTAGTGACGAAGAGAAGGAGCAAATTCATCGGGGAAACACATTTATTTTTTCTCCTGGACTTCCTGAGTGGGAAGGGGGTGGTGGGAGTGGGGGTGGGTTTTGGGGGGCTGGGTTGGAGAGGGGGAGGACCACATCATTTCATTTTTACCTTGTATGAGGATGGCCGAGATTTAAAAAAAAATTAATAACCCATTTCTCCTTTGCGCATAATTAAAATGTTCTCCAGTCTCTAATTTTTGTCGTTTTCCTTATCTAATTTGTTTTCCGAGTGTGTCGATTCTTCTACCAAGCGCAAAGCAAGGGGGATTTTTCCTTCTTCAACGTGATTGGGATCCGACTGTCCAGGACTAGTTTAAATTACATTATTTTCTCCTTGGTTAAATACAGTGTAAATGGAATTGTCAGAGGGTCTTAACGACCCAAACCTGAAAAACAACAACGACAAAAAATCTTCAAAGCATCTCCTACATACGCAGTTAAAAAAAAAAATATATATATATATATATATATATAATTATGAAAAGAAACGAGGGAAATCGGTGGTGGGAGTGCGCAGGCATCGGCCAGACCGTTGGGTGTGTCGGGGTAGGAGGGGTCTCACTGGCTCCTTTCCCCAAGTCCACCTGGAATCTGCCAGAGGGGCCTTTTAGCCCAGTAAATAGAAATCCAAGGAGAGGAAAAAAAATCTAGAAATCATAGCATTGCCAGCTTCGATTTCAGAGGAATCCAGGATTGACGGAACCTCAGGATTCCTGCGATTGATGGGCAGAGGGTGGTGGGGCCTTGGGCTGGGGAAGGAAGGGTTATTTTCAAGGGATCCCTCACCCTGCAGCAGCCCTGTGCTGCGGAGGTGAGTGGCACTTGTCCCTGGGAAAATCCCTTCCCGCCTGCCGAGCTGCTAAAGGCTCTTGAGGCAGAACTGACTGATGGGGAGGAAGGAATTTCTCCACCTGTCCGGGCTTGCCAGGTGCGGTGTGGGGCCCGGTGGGTGGGTTTGGGGGTTTGAGGGGAGGGGTGTGGCCGCAGGGGAATCCTTCCTGTCCCCCCATTGTGGAAAGTAAAACTTCACTTCCCTGTTTACAAAATACCAGCCATTGTCCGGGTCCTGCGGTGGCTGGCGGGGTCTGGAGGTGCGGACTTGCCGGCCCTGGCTTGTTTGTTTTCTTTCCCTCCCTTCCCTTTTCTTTTTACCAAAGTATATTCATCAAACTGCTGAGTTGGAAAGATTTGTAATGAGTTTTTGAGGCGTACGACTGTGTTTTTTCCCTCTCCCCCCCCCCGCCCTCTCCCTCTTTCTAAATCTTCATCTGACATTAAATAAAGCAAATCCCAAACAGATTAACTGTCGCACGGTTCTGCTCCGTCTCCTCAGTCTGTCTGCAGGTCTGGCGGGGGGCCGGGCGGCGGCGGCGGCAGCGGCGGTGGCAGCGGGAGATGCCCAGGTGGCCCGCGGAGGTCCATGTGGCGCTCTAGGTGGGATGCCGGTGTCCTGAAGGCCGAGGCCCTGGCCCTCCTGCCCTGCGGCCTGGGCATGGCGTTCTCCCAGTCCCACGTGATGGCCGCGCGGCGGCACCAGCACAGCCGGCTCATGGTCGAGGTGGATGAGTACAGCTCCAACCCCACGCAGGCCTTCACCTTCTACAACATCAACCAGGGCCGCTTCCAGCCGCCCCACGTGCAGATGTAAGTGGGCGGCAGGGGGGCGGGCACCGGGGCGGGGGACTTGGGGGGCCAGAGGGAAGTGGCAGATGGGTGGCTTGGGGGCCGGGGCTGGCTCTGAGTCCTGCTCTATTTGACCTGGACCATGTTCTGCAAATATTTAAAAACCGGGCAGTTGGTCCTAGAATCCCAGGCTTCGGGCCTCGCTGGGCCACACTGAGAGGCCTGGCAGCTGGGCCACAGGTCCTGGGGCAGCGTCTGGGCGTGGGGTTCCCGCCATCYGTCTGGTTGTGCTGCTGTGGGAAAGCAGAGGTGCCTTACCCAAAGGGCCGGCGCGTTCTTCCAGCCTGACCTTCTCCAGCCAGACCCTGCCCCCAGCACCAAACACTGTCCCTGGGCTCTGTCCCTCCCGGGCTCTTCTCTGAGGACCTGGAAGAGGTGGATGAACTCCTATCCCTGCTCTGGGCCCCTCCCGGGGTTTCTTTACCCCTGTTACCCCTCCCATCTGCCCTGRGCTGCAGGCCCTACCTGATGAGGAACCAGGGGCCCAGGTGAGGTGACCCGCCCAGCCCCACACGGGCAATGCTGGCCTGGCACCAGGGCTRCCTGACTGCAGGCCCCCACCCCTGCCCCTCTGCAGGGCTAAGCATGGTGTCTGTAGAGGGACCACCCCCAGCAGACAGCGCCGTCCCTCTCTGCTCAGCACCTTGGGTTCCTGTGCTGGTCTGAGCCCAGCTGAGCCCTGGTGGAGGAGAGCACAGAGGGTGAGGGCCATGGGTCCCCGTGGAAGCCCTCCTGACCACCTGTGCATCGGATGACCCCTGGGGACACAGGCCCCAAGCCTCCACTACGGGGGTGGCATCGTTTCTGGGCAGAGTGTTCATGTGGGGTCCCAGCTGCCGTCCCTCGGGGAGACTGGAAAAGCCACCAYGAGAACCTCTCGAGAAGGTGCCGCGGGTCCCCACCTGCGGTGGGGGCTTCTGCTCCTGCTCACGTGGTTTCCTTCCCTCAGGCCCTGGCCTCTGTTGAAGGTGGGCCCAGACAGCTGTTCATCGGGGAGGCGGCGGGCGCAGGGCCTGGGTGGCCTCCGGCACCAGGAGTGCCCCCTTCCCTGTGGCGCTGGCTCTGGGTGGCTCATTCYGTGGGGGCACGGGGCCTGTGGTTGGAGGCTGCCTGCTGTATCTTTTGGTGGATTTGGGCGACTGTCTMTGACTGTCTTTGGGGGCCAGGTTGGTGGATTTGGACAGTATGGAGGCTGGGGCTGAGGCTCCCTGCTCCTAGAGGCCTGGCCCGGCTGCTGCGAGGTGTCTGCCCCAGGGTAGGTGAGGCTAGTTCTCCAGACTGTGCCTGAGGTCCTGGAAGCCCTGCCSGTGTGACATGGGAGAACATCAGCCTTCGGACAGAGCAGGCCACGTGGGTGTGTGTCTGTGCCCGTGTCACCCCTCTGAGGGTCCCTGGGCCAGGGATGACACCACGCAGAGCTGTCGTTGACTGCACCTCTGTCTTGGCCTGGACACCCAGGGTCTAGGGAGACCCTGGTCTGGGAATGACGCCAGGGAAACAGGAGGACAGGAGAGGAGAGCCAAGGAGGCCAGTCCAGGCAGGAGCCCCAGCAACTAGGCTGAGGCCSGGGGGAGAGGGAGCAGTGGACTGGGAAGGGGCGTGAGGAGGAGCGGGCCAGGCAGCGGGCAGCAGGGAGCAGCTGGGCAGAGGGGTGTCTTGAGGGTCCTGCGGGTCAGACTGGGTCCTGAGGATGGTCATGGAGTAAGTGACCCCGTGAGGCACCACTGATGTCCCTCTCTCAACCAGTGTGCAGCGGAGGGTCCCTCATTCATCTGAGGGTGGGATCCTGCCTCGTGCTGCCTCATTGTCCCCAGCTGTGAAGTGCTGCTGACAGCAGGCCTGGGGTGAGGGGGGTAGCCTCATAGGGCAGCTGGGTGGGCAGCAAATGCCCCSAGAGGTTAGGACACCACGGTGCTGGAGACGATGCCTGCCCACACGGAGCTTGCTCAGATGGAGGGAAGACAGCAGAAGTGTCCTAAAACATGTCATTGCCACCATGTGGCACTGGTAGCGATGAATGCTTGGTGGCTTTCTTGTGGCCCAGCTGGCTTCCTAGCTGGCCAGGTCTCTCCCCTCCTCACCCCAAGCAGTGACGGTCCCTGGCTTCCATTGGCCGTGGGGCTCAGTGGCCCTGGGGGTCTGGGCAGGGTCCTGGGATGCCCTGAGCTCTGGCTTTGAAACGCAGCATGGCACAGAGCTGGGTGAGCTGGGGTGGCACAGGGACTCGGGGTCGCCGCCTCCAGGCCCTTCACTGAGGCCTTTAGCCTGGGGGAGGCKCGCAGGCTGGCGGGACGGCTGAGGAGTTTCCACGGTGAAGGGGCCACTCCATCTCCGGGAGGGGCAGGAGGGTTGCCCCCCACTTCCTGACGTGTGATTTATCGTCACCCTGGGCTTTGTCTCCAGGGTGAGGGAGCGAGGGGGCCTTATTTAATAAATCCATAATTTATATTTAATGACCACAGTGAAGGTCCAAACCTGGCCTCTGATTGAACCTGTGATTTACAYGGTGGCCCCAGAGACCCTGCTGGTAACCAGGCTGCCTCCGCCTGAACCTGAATCTATGCCCCTGGGCCTCTGGGTTGTGGTCCTGAGGCTGAAGACTCCACACCCGGAGGGCTGTAAACCCTGTGGGGTCCCTGGGAGGCCCTTGCAGGCCCCAGACTTCCCGCCCGGGTGGCAGGGAGAAGACAAGGGTGAGGGTCAGGGACGGACCACGGGGAGGTGTCCGCCTCGTGCCGCGGGAGGCGTGGTGGAGGTGTGGACCCCCGAGCCTCCGGGGTAGCGCTGGGTCCTGACGTGCATAGGGTGAGGGGCTGAGAGCCAGGCTGGCAGGCGCCTGGCCCTGCCAACTATGCCAGGTGGGCACGCTGGCACCCTCCCTACAGTGGAGGAGACTGAGGCTGGGAGGTGGCGTCGGGCCTGCTGCTCAGCCCCGGCTCCTGTCTGCTGGCTGAGAGGCTCCAGAGGCCGAGGGCTCAGCCTCCTGCCTGGGTAGGGCTGGCGGGCAAGGCAGGCGGGAGGCCTCCGAGCCTGCACACCTCGCTCTCTGGCCTCGTCCTGCCTGCCTCCTCCACTGGGCAGCAGAGGMACTGGCTGCCTCTGTCTCTGGAACATTCCACTCCTCCCGCCTCAGCTCTTGGCACCTGCTCTTCCCTCTGCGTCTACAGCCTGGCCCTGCTGGTCTCCAGAGCTCACTCCCCCGGAAGCCTCCCCTGACCCCTCCAGGGACAGACCACAGCGCCCCCAGCTGGAGGTGCTCGGAGTCCCCCGGCAGGTGYGTCAGTCTGCTTACACACTGACTGGTGGGACGGCTCCCTAGGCGCCCTGGCAGCGCGGGCTGCMTCCCTGGAGGTCCAGCGGCATTTTGACTTAAGTGGACCTGGCCATTCTAGGGCAGAGGGACCAGCCGAAGCAGAGACTGGAGGGGGGACAGGAGCTCAGGTCTKGGCACAGGAGGGCCTGTCTCTGGGGCAGTGCTTTGGGGAAGAGCTCTGGTGGGCATCAGCCAGTCCTCTGCCCTCCCTGGGCCTCGGTTTCCCTGTTTGTAGAGTTCCCACGCAGCGTGGCTGATGTCCTGTCACGGGCTGGAGGTGTGGGACCCTCAGACCTTCAGTGTGCCCCAGGATGGGGTAATGGGGGTGACCGCTCTGCTTGGTGTCTGTGTGGGCATCCGACGCCAGAATGGCACTGCCTGGAGCCGATGGCTTATGGGGAAGAGCGAGAGCCAAGAGCAGGGCAGAGGTCACTGCGGGGGCTTTGGCATTAGACTCTGAGCTGCGAGGGTCAGTTAGGCTCCCCCGGCATCCCCCTGGTGAATGCCTCCGCCCCCCAGCTCTGTCTACCCTGCAGAGCCGGACCAGAGCTGGGGAGGGCCAGGCGCAGTCAGTGGTCACTGGGCTTGGGTTTCTGGGTTGTGCTCTCCACTCTGTGCTGTTCCCATTACCCTGTTCCCGMGGGAGAGCTGGTGGTGGGCGTCTGAGCACCTCAGCAGGCAGAAGCCTCAGCTCTAGGAAAGAAGAACATGTGCTTCTACACCGTATGTTTGGTCCCTGTAGAATGTCGCTAGGAAATAACCATTTTGCTTGCAAGAAGGTGTTGCAGTTAGATGCCCAAATTCCTGTTGGAAGACCTCGGTTCAAATTCTATGCTTTATCTTATCAGATGGGACCTTGAGCATGGAACTTATTTTTCCTGGCCTCATTTGCTTAATCCATGGGGCTGTTGTGACTCAAGTGTTAGCTGGGGTTTTGTCACTGCAAGTGTCAGAAACACAGCTGATATTGTAAGGGTGAAATGATTCGTTTACTAGCTCATGTCATTAGYTAGGAAGTTTGGGTTTAGCTTCAGGCATGGCTGGATCCAGGATTCCAATGATGCCATCTCAGAGACTCTTTCTCCATGTCTCTTCTGCCTTTTCCCTCACTTCTAAACACAGTTACAGTTTATGGGAGCCCCTGCTAGTGGCCTCTGTGGGTGTATTCTCTACAGGTGCATCCATCACACCCGGCAGGTGTCTGGAACGTGGGAGTTCCTTTGTAAGCATTTGTTCATGGATTGATTGAAAGAAAAGAASCAGGTCCTGGAGGTAGTCCAGCCTGGTGTGGGTTTGGGATAAAGACCAGCTCCATGGCGGARGTTGTGGGTAAATCAGGTTTTCTGAGCCGGGTTTCTTCACCTGTACAACGGGGACAGCAGAGTATGTTGCTTAGATGGTCCCGGGGAGGGAGGGGAGAGCATGTGCAGGTAGCAGGCTCAGCGCATAACGAGCTCTTTTTTTTTTCCTTTTCCAGAATGAGCTCTTGATGCGTGGGAATCATTGATATCAGTGCCGTTATTATTTTAAGGTTTAGYGTTTGCTACAATCCAAACAGCCCAAGGACCGAGCGGGAAATGAGAGCCTTTATTTTCTTCTCTGGGGATTGCTGGGTTTGCATCTTCACTGTGCAGGAGCCTCGGGGTGTAGGGAAGTAAGGCAGAGTTAATTAAAGAGCTCTGGCTCCAACAGCAGGCCCAGCCCGCGGGAGCCCCTGGCTGCCGGGTGGCCGCTCAGGGCTCCTCACTAGGAGAGGTGCAGGAGGAGAGCAGCCCCGGGCTGTGGGCGGGCACCCTGCTCCCTGTCTCTGCCCTTCTCAGCTCTTTTCCTCTTTGGCGTGGTGTTGGTCKCTTGGTAGCCTCTTCAAAACCAGAGAGAGTGAGAGAATATGAATGATCTAATTGGCTCTAGAGTTCAGGTGCCCGGCCTGCAGCCCGGTTGTGATTGGCTGCCCTTGGTCAGCTGAGTCGGGATGGGCGGGGCGTGTAGGTGGAGGCGGGGCGTGTGGGCGGGGCCAGAGCCAGCTCTCTGCCTGGCGCACAGTAGGTGTTGAAGAAAGGCAGAATGAATGAGTGAATGACAGCAGGGGAGAGCCTGCCCCTTCCTGGCTGGTCATCAGCTGCTCACAGRGGGTTTGCTTCTTGGCCCACTAGCCTGGGCCAGTCCCATCCTGCTGGGATTCTGCCTTGGCTTGACAACCCTAGAAAGGGGCCACAGGTGCTCCCTCCCACGGTGACATCGTGACATTATGGCGGGAGAGGCTGGCATGGCGCCTTCACCTGCAGCAGATCCACATGCTAGGGCTCCCTGCACATTAGCATGCCGCTCCCACGTCTCTCGTAAGGTGTTAATTAAATTTCTTCGAATATATTGTCTGAAAAAAAGGATAATTAGAAAGATGTCTTTAAAAGTATTTATGTAACTGATATGGTACCGCTTTTGGTTTGCCGCATAATTAGATTTAAACACAACTCCTGGAGCGGCATTCTCATTTGGAGAGATCTGCTCGTTGAAATGTCATTGTGTTGTTTTTAAGTGTTTGGAGCCTGGCACAGCCATCCAGCTGGGGAGGCAGCGAGTGGGGAAGAGCCCTGGACTGGGAGCGGGCAGCCGGCTCCTCAGCCCTGTCCACGCTTGTGCCYTGGGGAGCTCAGGGTCCTGCTCACCTGCTGGATCTGAGTCCTCGGGAATGAATCTAGAGAGCCACCTCGGGCTCCCCAGGAAATGGACTTACTTTTGTGCCGTGCTTTAATTTTCTGAGTATTTTGCCTGGGGAGGTGGCTCCATTTTACAGAGGCACAAACCCAGGCAGTGTGTTTTGCTCAAGGTCACGTGTAAGCCACAAGCAGCAAGGAGGGATTGGAAGCCTGATCTGATGCCTGACGCCGTGAGACAATGCCCCTGGAGGGCTCTCGGTCTGAAAGTGGTCAGACTAGCTCATGGTTTTGAAAAATTGCAACCTGTCTGCACTGAAGTGTCTCCTTGAATCCCTCCTTCCCCACACRGCTCTCCTTGGTCAGTCTGACTGGACCGTGGACTTTAGTCCAGGTATCCTCAGTGGGGGCAGTAGCATCCTCCAGGGGTGAAAACTGGCTTTTGGAGGGTGAAAAAGTCTGACCCTTTGTCCTTCATCTGTCCAGGTGCAGACAGACATACACTACTTAGCGATGCAGCTTTTCTGTGGGTTAAATCATGTGGTGGGCCTCATGGACACAAGGCTGGGAAGTGCTGCCTTAGTTCCTCCGCACGTGAGCGTGATGACCAGGTGCTCATTCATCACCTCCCTCAGCCCGCTCCGTGGCCTTCTGGGATTCCCAGGYATAGGGGCAAACGGAGGCTCAGGGGACAAAAATATCTTGTCCCCAGTGAGCAGGAGTCCAGATCTGGACCCCTCGGCAGGCTGGGGCGCCACCTCTGTCTGTGGGGATGTGAGCGTGGCTTTGGCCACAGCGTCCTCAGGCTCACGGCTCTGTGGGCCCATGACCCACGGTGTCTCTTCTGCCCACAGGGTGGACCCGGTGCCTCACGATGCCCCCAAGCCACCCGGCTACACGCGCTTTGTCTGCGTCTCTGACACCCACTCGAGGACCGACCCCATCCAGATGCCCTACGGTGACGTGCTGATCCACGCGGGGGACTTCACGGAGCTGGGGCTCCCGAGCGAGGTGAAGAAATTCAACGAGTGGCTRGGTAGGTCCCGCCTGCTGGGCGCCAGGTGGGCGGGGAGGACGTGGGTCCCGCCGGCTCCCCTCCAGCAGCYGCCCTCCACCTGGCGCCCCCTCCTCCCTGCTCTGCTGCACCCTCCATCGGCCAGAAAGCCGTCCCTGACCTGGGACAGGCTGTGTCTTTCTCTCGGGTTCCGCCTAGGACCTCCGAGGCCAGCACCTGCCTTGGCCATCTTTCCATYTGTCTGAGAGGTTTTCATGGGGCCTGAGAGACCTCCTCTCAGAGGGACTTGGCTCATGTCTGTTTGGCCTCCCTGTGTCCAGCCTCCAATGCCGAGGGGGCGAATGACACGTGCCTCGCTCAGCCGCCCAGTGAGGGTCCCTGCAGCCTCCGCTGACCCAGGAGGGGCCCAGGGGGCCAGACGTGGGCTCCCCTGCGGTCAGCTGTTGGCATACAGTGTGCAAGGGTGGGCGGTGATCTCCACASGTCCCCAGAATCCTGTCTTTGTCTTTGTGCTTTTCTTCCAAAATAAGAAGGAATGAAATCTGGAGCCCCCTGGGAGAATTCACTTGCCTGGGAATACAGAGAAACCTCCCAGCGGGGCTCTGTCCCCACCCTGGGGGACAGATGGATGGCCCCCAGGCGGCCTGGCGCACAGGCCTGTGGTGGTGGAGACGTGGGTGCAGGGCCGACCCACCTCCGTATGCAGCTCCTGTGGCCGCCAGACGGTCCCTTGGGCCTCGCGGGGCCTGGCTCTGCGGCTGGCTGGGAGCCGTGTGTGCAGCAGAGGCCGCAGCCAGGCGGGTGGCGTGGCAAGCAGGAGGCCCGGCTTTGCCAGGGGGAGAATATTTACAAGCAAGGCCACCTCCTCCACTTGGCAGCTCGGTGCTTTAAATATTGATTTTTCAAACAGGAAATTCTAATCCAGGGCCTGTTTGGGCTGAAACATGTGCAGGCTGGGGTAGGAGAGGCCCCCGCAGGGCTCCTGCCAGCAGGACTCCTCCGGCCCCTCACCCGGCCACATGGCCTCCAGCTCTGGGCTGCCACCCAGCAGGGGACCCTCAGGTGAGGCTCCACTTGGCTGGGCCCCAGGTCTATTTCCCAGGCAGACAACCGGACTCGCCCTGGGCCAGGCGCACCGTGGCAGGCTCGTCCCCCCTGCCTGTTGAACTCGGCAGCAGTTCCAGGTGGTCACGGCGTGCGTCCCCGTGGGGCAGGAGGATGGAGGTTCTCAAGGTCTGCCTGGCACACATGCCCTCCTCAGTGTGGAGCCCATGTGCTGTGGGTGGGGACTGAGGGCTGTGGGACAGTCACATGAGGCCTGAYGAGGTCCTCGGGGCAGGGGACCACTTCTCAGGGAGGTGGGCTCTGAGCAGGGCCTTGGCAGGGCACGGGCGTTTGCTCAGGGAAGGAGGAGAGTCAGATGAGGGGACAGGGGTGGAACGAGGGGACAGCTCAGGTCAGGGTGGGCCTGGGTACTTGCCTGGAGGACGTGGTGGTGACGAGGGGCTTGACTGAGAGGGCCCAGGGAGACAGGCTCTTGACAGAGGTGGGAGACGCGCCTGGGCGTGTGGGTGGCCTCCTTAGCATCTGCACTTGAAGTTGGTGGAGCGGTTGTGCGCCCGGGTCATCAGGGTGGGCTCAGGGGGGCCTTGCTCTCGTTCCCTTCCCCAGCCCCCGGCTTTGCTGCTGGAAGTGGTTGCAGGTGTCGGGGCCGTCACTCGAGGGGGGCTGGGCTGGTGAGGAGCTTCCCTGTCCTTGATCGAGCAGCAAGGTGCTCACAGTGACTGAGAACAGAAGTCCCTTGGCGGCTGGCTTTGGGGACTTCGTGCTGCACACAGTGAGACCTGCCTTCCTCGGCCGGCGGTCAGGGTGGCCATGGACCGGGCGCTGGTTAGGTCCATCTGGCCAGGCACGTTTGTGTACAGAGCCAGTGTTTGTTCGCATTTAATATGTGCCAGGCACTTTCTGTGCCCTTAGTGTGTGTCACTGTGTCCTCAGTCCTCCTGACAGCAGAATGAGGCAGGAGCGAGTGTTGAGTGTTGTCTTCATTTTACAGAGTAGAAAACCAAAGCCCAGAGAAGTGAGGGCATTTGCTCAAGGTCACACAGCCAGCAGGCRGCAGAGCTGGGATTCAAACCCAGCGATTGACCCTGGAGTCAAGCGCTCTGTGGCATCTCTTCGAGCCGCTCTGGTCTGCTTCCTGCCTGGGTGACTGTGGCAGCCACATGTCACCTCTGGTGGCCTCTTTTTAAATGGGAGTAGCGAGGCTCCCCTCGCCCTGGCTCTCTCCCAGAGCAGTCTGGAGGCTGTGTGGGGGGAGGAGGTGGTCAGGTTTGTAAACTGTGAAGTGCTGTGTGAAAGTTGACATTGCTTCCTGGCATTTGCCAGATCAGTGAGGACTCTTAAAGTGACAGGTGCCTGCTGAGGACCAGCCAGGGACTGTGGTGGGGAAGGCTGTGTGGAGCTCAGCTAGGTGGTCATCAAAGGCCTCCTGGGCAGATCTGGGGCAGGACCGTGGGGCAGCAGGCCCTGGATGGCAAAGGGAGCCTTAGCAGAGTTGGGCTGGAGGTGGGCGCCCATGTGCACAGGCCTTGGGGGCAGGGCCAGAGTGGGGCTTGATTCTGGGTGTGGCGGGAGCTTGGGGAAGGTCTACGGAGGGGAYGACTCGAAGACATTTTCCAAAGGCYGTCCTGGATGTGCAGCAAGGACAAAGGCTCTGGAATGTTTATTGATGTCTGGGTGGYGGGACTCGGGCAATTCTCTTCTTGGTGGCTCCTGTCCCCTGATTTCCTACAGGGAGAGTGTCGTCCCTGTGGTGTCACAGAAGGCCTGGCGGGTTGTTCCTGAGCTGACCCTCCTGGTGTCTGTGTGCCAGGAGCGGTGCTGACCCTGGGTGGGTCCAGCCACTCCCCCAGGAGCCCTGGCCCAGCTGCCCCGCCCAGCCCCCTCCCACGAGAACACCGAAGCCCACAGGCTGCTTCCTGCCCATCCATTGCTCTTGGAGATTTTATTTATTTATTTATTCATTAATATTTTTAAAGTTGTAGGTGGACCTTTATTTTATTTRTTTATTTTTATGTGGTGCTGAGGATTGAGCCCAGTGCCTCACCTGTGCTAGGCAAGTGCTCTGCCACTGAGCCATAGTCCCAGCCTCTTGGAGATTTTAAAAGCAGTTAATAAGGTCATATTCCRGGGCCACCTCCAGACAAAGTCACTAGGGACAGTGGTGAGACCAGTACCTGGGGCCGCACGCCTAGACCTCGGCTCTGACTTCCTGGGCGCTTTGCTCCCACCTGTGTGCTTCYGCCTGGGTCCTCGCAGGGGGCTGGGCTGGGGTGACAGCACCCCTCTGAGCAGACCCTCTTTCTCTTTGGCCATTAATATTCCAAATATAGTCATGAGGTGGAAACACCACCTTGATTTGTGACTGTCCCCGTAAGCAGCTAAAAAATGTCCGAGGACAGGTTCTGCAGCCAGCKTGGAGGGAGAACCAGGCGGGCTGAAAATGGCGCAGGATGTGCTGGAAGGTCCCCGCTCCTCCTCCACGGGTGACGCGGTGCTCAACAGAGTGGGAGCCTGGGGAGCTCGCAGCAGCCGGTTGGGTCCGTGCCGTGTGCCCATGCAGAGCTGGACGCCTGGCGGTTAGGGGCTCAGGCCTGAGGTCCAGCCGCSGCCTTCGCCCTGCTTCCGCCTCCTTTGCCGGACAGAGGCCCGGCTGCGGCTCCCTGCTGGACTTTCAGCCTGTGGAGGGCGGGGCCGAGGCCTCTCCCCAGGCCAGTGCTGGTCCCCAGAGTCTCTGAACAGAGGACAGCAAGTGTCACACCAATGCCCAGCACGTGCAGCCCTGGCTCTGGGCCGTGCCCAGTGTCCCAGCAGGGCAAGGCGTGACTGCATGCCTCTTGGTGAACAGCAGCGGGCGGGGTCTCCGGGGCAGGGCTGGGAGGCAGACCCCGTGCATCAGCGGGAGTGGGGCTGAGCTGAGGTCTCAAGGACAAAGCGGGGTGCCGAGGCCAGCCGGTGGTCTGCACCTGAGCAAGGGGGCCCGGCTCCGGGTGGACGTGTGGACTCTCCCTGGAGGCCAGGGGTGCTGAGGGTGCGAGGAGAGGCTGAGCGCCCCGTGGTACCCGCTGCCAGCGCTGCCCACTGTGGGGGGAGCACCGTCYGAGGCCCCGACCCCACCCACTCCTTCTCCTGGCAGGAAGAGCAGCCCCGGTTCTGCTGCTGTCTGAATGACAGCCACGCCCACCGGAACTGTCCCTTCACACGCTGGGATCTGCAAGGTGCCAGGGAGCTCTCTGTCTGTGATGGCGGGTGCCAGGCTGGCCTCCCCAACCCCCGCCAGGAGCCTGCCGCCCACACAGCCCTCTTTCCTCGTCCCCAGCCTTGCATGGCCCAGGAGGGAYGGCCCAGAGTCCCTATTGCCTGTGCTCGGTGGCACCTGGTGGACACAGCCAACTGTGGCTCTCCTTCCCTGGCTCCAGGCCACCCTTCTTCATTTCCCCTATTCTGCTTCTGCCCACTGGAGGGAGCCTCTCCCTGGGCCTGTCCTCGGACCTGCCGACCCTCCCCAGAGACAGGCACCGGATCCCTCTCAGACCTGGGAACAGCTCCTCTTCTCTCTGGAGCCAGTGGATTGATTATTCAGGCTTCCCAGGAGACGCCTCCTCTTGGGTGTCTGCCAGGATTTCAGGCTCATTCTGTTCCAASTGACTTCCGCCCCCTCTACCCGCCCCTACTGCTTCAGGATAAGGTGCAGCTCTCCAGGGGGGCTTTTGGGACCCTCTGTCAGAGCCCCCTTTCCTGGCCCTGAGGCTGGTGTGCACGGCATCTGTTSTTAGTTTGACTGGCTGTTGTTGTCTGTGCTGCAGCCCCGGGCACCTATGAGTCAGCCTGCTGGGCTCCCCTTTCTCCTGGGTCCTGTGACCCTGCCAGGACAGGGACCASACCTGGGTCAGCGCAGGTCCCCAGAGCCCAGCCCAGCCTGGTGCCAAGGGGTGTTGGCCGGCCTTGCCGACTAGAGC